AAAAAAAAAATATTCAACCATGTCTTCGGATTCTCCTCCTGATACTGTGAATCCGATACTGACATATGGCGAAACCACCGCTCCACCAGATGAGCCTTCCTCCACCGTCACCTCCAGTTACAACGCATCTCCGTCTCCGGTTTCAACGCCTCCGTCGACCTCTCTCTCCTGGCCTCCCGATGGCAAGCTTACTCTTGACTGGATCTATAATCTCATGTCCGTCTTTGACTGGGCTTCCCGAAATCTCCCTCCTGTTAATTTCCCTTCCGTCTTGCCTGTATCGGTTTTTGATTCTCTTGTACTCACTGCTTCAAAGATCCTTCATAAAGAACCGAATTGTGTCAGAATTGACGACGTTGATTCGGATTCAATGGTTGTCGTCGTTGGCGATCTTCACGGCCAATTGCATGATACTCTTTTCCTGCTCAGAGATGCTGGTTTTCCTTCTGAAAATCGCGTCTTTGTCTTCAACGGAGATTACGTTGACAGAGGAGCTTGGGGTCTTGAGACCTTTCTGCTTTTGTTAGCCTGGAAGGTACTTGCATTTTCTTCAAGCTCGTTTTTTTCCCCCCGTATATTTGAATCAATTCTATCTGATCTACATGTGGATCTTTGCATATCCAGCTTTGATTACAGAATGTGTTGAATTCTTATTATTGGTTGTTACTTAATAGTGGGTTGAGAATTGTGGAATCTGATCGGGTAGTTGTAAGTAGAGGTCTGAGCTCAACGAGCTCGGGCATCCTAAAACATGTAAAAAACTCTATAATTCTAAGAACAGTCGAAGTCTGATTCAGGTCAAAATATTACTGAGGTCAAACGACTCAATGGCAGAAGTTGAAGTTCCCTTTTCTCCAGTTGCACCATAGTTACAATGAGACCATACCTAGCTGATCTCCATTTCCGAGATAGTCACTCTTCCAGCCACGTCTTGTTCCGACTATTTTGCCAAGTGGACCATGTGGATACGTCCTCAAACCCTATAAATACCCCCAAAGGCCCCTTGCTAAAGGGGAACTAGAATCCGACCTGAGGCTTACTTTCCACTCTTCTCAACTTTGGGACTTTGCAGGTTAATCATCTCAACAGACTGGGATTGAAAGAAGATTGTGAATTTTGTGCATTTACAGTAGTAATATTCTTTGGACTTAAATATTGTTCAGTATCTTTCAAATTTCATGCTTTGTTGTGTAAGAAATTTGGAGGGATAGAGTAGATTGTTGTGAATTTAATTCAGCTTAAGTCAGTGGGACTATTTGTTATGAAGTTTCTATACATATTACTATGCTTATGGTAGTTGATTTCCCATTTGACATTTTTTAGAAAAAAATGTATTATTGATGATCAAGTTCCTTGTTGCTTTCGATGTTTAATCTAGAATCTACTTTAATTTCTGATGAATTAAAGTTCTTTCCTTTTATATGTTATGTTGATTATTTTTGTGTTATTAGGCTGAGTGTTTTTTTGTTGAAACTTAAGTATTTTTTCAATGATTAAATAATTTCAATTTCACAAGAGATTTTATTTTCCTAGGTTTTTTTGCCACATAGAGTGTATCTTCTTCGTGGAAATCATGAATCCAAGTATTGTACCTCTGTTTATGGATTTGAGAAGGAAGTGTTGATAAAGTATGGAGATAAAGGTAAGCATGTGTATCGGAAATGTTTGGGATGCTTCGAAGGACTTCCTTTGGCCACTATAATAGCTGGCAATGTATACACTGCTCACGGAGGGCTTTTCCGCAGCATTCCTGCCACCCCATCAAAGAGGTCAAAAAAGAAGAATCGCAGGATAAGCCTTACCCCCGAAATCAATCCCTTTTCTCTTGGTTCTTTGGAAGAATTATCTAAAGCTCGAAGATCTGTTCTTGACCCTCCTTGGGAAGGTCAGAATTTGATTCCTGGAGATGTGCTATGGTCAGATCCATCAATGAGTCCCGGTCTTTCTCCAAATACAGAGAGAGGCATTGGCTTGTTATGGGGTCCCGATTGCACTGAGGAGTTCTTAAAGAAGTTTAATCTAAAGGTATCATCATACTCTAATAGACTAATCATTTGTCATAACTCATAACAAAATAATTTTGCATAAAGAAATACTTTACTGCCCTCTTTAATTGCCTTTCCATCCTAGATCATCAGATTTAGAATGAAATAAAAACTGTGGAGATCTTTATTACCATAGGCCTCATTCATCAATCTTGCAATTGATGGCTGTGAAATTAATTGTTTTTGATGATTGCTGAAGTAATGTTTGTTTCCGACAAGATAAATTGGTGAGAGAGCTTTTATTGAATTTTGTGAAAGTTGGAGAAGCTATTTTCCATGTTTATAACCTGGATAGGAAATGGAATTTCATTCCAGTGTAATTTTGATTTGATACCATAATTGCTTGGGACGAAAAGATTGGGCACATAGTGGATCATTTGGAAGCATAAGCATTATGTCATTCATGTTTGAGACTTGAACTGAACCTAAACTTTGGATAGAATGCACTATCAAAGCTTGTTGTTTCTGCATATGGAAGAAGGTAAATGCATTTGCTGGATGAGTCTTTCCCAATCTCTAGCTTCACATCATAGTTATATGTCTGGGAAATGCTTACTCCACCTCAGTGTTATTAAATTCTAACGTGTGTCTCTAGCATGTAGGAATTAGGATGTTAGTAATTATTATTGCCTTTTACCATATTTAGTTTATTACAGTGATAAAATGTAAGAACCAGATGGTTTTTGGAGTTCTAAAATACTGATATTCAATTGGTTGTTTACTTGCATGATTTCATCACCTCAGTTAATCATCAGATCACATGAAGGCCCTGATGCAAGAGAGAAGAGGCCTGGTTTTGCGGGAATGGATGAAGGGTACACCATAGATCATACAGTAGAGACAGGAAAGCTGATTACCTTGTTTAGTGCTCCAGACTACCCACAATTTCAGGTTTTCTCATAATTTCCATTATTTTAGTTTCTTTTCTTTCATAACCTATTTTTAACACTTCCTTATCTTATCTTTACAACTTACAGCAACTTATGTAATGTGGTTTTCTGACTCAAATCCCTCTTAAAACTGCGGCTATGCTGAATATATTTTCCTTCCAAAATGCAGGCAACAGTAGAGAGATACAATAATAAAGGAGCATACGTTGTTCTGAAGCCCCCAGAATTCAATAACCCCGAATTCCATAGTTTTGAAGCCATTCTTCCAAGACCGAAGGTATCTGATTAACCCTTAAATATATTGAAACAAATTTGTTTTACCCTAGAATCTAGTCCATTTGGATCATGGACCAAAAAAAAAAAATGAAAAAACCAACTTTGGCATGCATTGGTGTAAAACCTAGCAGTTTAATTGGTGGATGTCTGTTATGTCACAGAATATCTCACATCAACATTTGACTAACACAGTGCATATCCTCAAATGCAGGTTCAAGCTTACTATGACTATGAAGAAGTGATTGATTCTGATGAAGAATTGGACTTGGCATCGATGGTGACTACCCCATCAGATATAATTGTATCAACATAATTTTTTTTTTTTTTTCTGTTATAGATGTAATTAGTTATGTCGAAAAACTTCTGTTCCCCCTGATCTTGTGTATTGATCAATTATACCTTGCCATAGGAAGTTAGCTTCCTACCCTTGTTAGCCTCCCACAATCTGGTCAGCCTTTTCACAAGCCAGCTACATGTCTGTTTGTCTTTCCCTCTAGTGGTGTTAAATGAGTAATAATTGTCAGAAACGACAGCGAGTTGCTTTCACGGTTTTGTTTCATGATGTGTTAGCATGGTTGTCTGCATGCCATTTGGAACAGAACAAAGCAGGTTTTCAGAATGAGCAATAATTCAGGGGGGGCGGAAAGAATTTTGGCTGGTCGTTGATCTTGGGGAACCACGTGCGATCCATCACAGGCCACGCCATGATCAACTTTCAAGGAATTTCCAGTCGGTTTTCAGCCGGAAAATCACATATAGAATCCATTAGCGTCACTTAAATAAGATGTATGGCGGATTGTATTACCTTTAATCATCAATAGAAAGGGGAGCCTCTAATATCATAGGGTTGCTTCCTTTATCAATAGTTAAGTGAAGTGTGTTTCGCATATGATAGAACTACATTTCACTCTCTGTTGAAATAAACGGAGAATAAATTGACATTGAATTGTACAAGCTAAAACTAAGTCATTGTCATTTGTTAAGCTACTTAAAAACCGATTGATTAGACCAATGAGCCAAGCAAATTTAACACTGCAGAGCTCCATGACCAACATCCCAGCCACCAAGCAACAGGTTGGGTTAGGCATCTATGCTAATTCTATTGCTCAAAAGGAACTCGAACAAACAACTGTCCATGAAGGGTGACCACGGCTGATGTGTGATGTGGGTCAATTCTTGTGGGCAAGCTGACAACCTGCCATCACAAAAATCAAATTATAGCTTGCTCTACATCATATCATGTAACATATCCATACACTTTCCTTGAAGAACATTATACTATGGGTCAGAAACTGGGAAAAAAATATGTAGATAGAAAAATGCTCAAAATAGAGAGAATATTATTTTAGCTAAACTTGAAATGTGTCAATATTGCCCTCCATGGATACTATTTTATTGATACTTGTACGCACCTTTTTGAATGGTGTGACACCCCAAGGATTATTGGCATTCCCTGGTTCACCGCTTATAACCAGGCGTCCAGCTGGATCTGATTGAACTCGCACCTGAACACACAAGACACCAACGTAAGGATAAAAAAGGACAAGAGAGAAGATGGCAAACTTTAAGTCGTTGTCATGGATTCCCACATAATGAAATCCATGGTAACTTCATGCACCACATTCTAAAATTCCAAGAAGCCAGATGCCTTTTCAAACTAGCTTTCTACATATTATCTTTAAAGGGAAGAATCTTCCACTCCTTCTACCAACTATTTATATAGAATTTATATGGGACAAAGACAAATTAAAGGTTCTAATGAACGAGAAAATTAAGCATCTGGACAATACTAATCATGGTCATCAACTGGACACAATTTAAGGCAAGTACAGAGACTTTCTAAATTCTAATAGGCAACAATTAAGCAATATCCATCAGAACATTACTGATCATACTAGCAGAAGAGAACTTAAGATGTAGAAACTTCAAGAGCTTCTCTACTTACCTCCTCACGAAGAAGACCAGGTACTAAAGCATAGACCTCGAAACAATCCTTCTACAAGCAACACCAAGCCAAACTTTTAAGATCTAGAAATGCCTGTTGCCATTTCTCAGATAAGTATACAAACAAACTTACAGTTTTTTGTACATTGATCTTAACCCAATCAGCTGGTGGTCCAATATCAACTATGGCAGTGTCCAATCTGGCTCCATATAAAAACAAGATAAAATGGTAAACTAAGTTCAATCAAAGTGGCAAGGCCAACTATTTTCGTTTCACACCCCCCACCCCCCCCACACCAAGAAAAAAAAAAAAAAGTAAAAGAAAAATCATGAAAGCTTAAAAACAAACTCATGAAGTATGAAAAATGGATCTTAACTGTGGTCTTGAAACTTTGCTACGGGCAGCTTTGACAACTTGTTCCTCATAAGAAGGTTTCTTGCGTTTGGGCAGACCTGAATACACAACAGTCAGGCTTAGAAGGCCTTTTCCAGCCATTGGATTCAAAATGCAGTTTAAAGGCTGTACCAAGGCTTTTAAGCTGTTTCTCACGCTTTTGCATGGGAACAGAACTCTTATCCTACAAAAGCCAGATAAAACTTTCAAACTATGAAATCACAAAATAAAAGATTAGACATTTAAAGCACATTAGAAGAAAAGTATGACCTTTTTCTCTTAGATGAAGACAAACACGGATAAATAGCATGTCAGATTTTCAACACACCTTAATTACAGGGTCACTAACTTCACCATTGCCAAGAAGACGCGAGTGCCAACCCTGCATGGCCCGAGTTGCTGCATCCCTCCGTGCTCTTCCCATTCCTGAACCCTAATTACAACCAGTATTATGAAGAATGTTGGAAAGATTAATAACTAAGAAGGATAACTTGCAAACCTGGTGTCACTTTTCATAAGAGATGAAAACACTAAATGAACTCTACAACATATGTACAGATCACTGTAAAAATTACACACCATTGAGATGGATAGTCAAGTTTCTTAAAGTTTAATAATTTAAGATGCAGTTAAATTGGTCACAATCTAATCCATCTCTAACCTATTTTGTTTCAAAAGAAAATCTGAATAACATGTGATGGTTCATGGTACCTGATTATTATCTACATTCACTGGCTGTGAGGGAGAAGCAACAGGTATATCAAGCTCACCACCATTTGCATTATGCCTTTCGTAATCAAGAAGTGCCTAAAGAACACAGAAAATGGTAAGCAGAAGAAGTACAATATGACATACAGCAAGATGGGTAAATCAGAGTCAAGCAGAGATGTGTTAGTAAACACAACAAAAATGTCAGGCGTGTGAGCAAGATTCATAACTCAAATATCACCTTCTCATAGAAACCTCGAAATGTCCATGAAACAGTAGTACATGTCCTACGTACAGAAAACACAAAAGAGGCGAAGAATATAGAAATTAGCATGCAAATATAGAAGATCAAACAATAAAATAAAGCAAATGAACAATCACTGATCCGCAATTTTAACTAAGTAATAGGCTGCATTATTAAAGAAAAGCTTTAGGAGTTTTTAAATTTCATTTGCAAAGCACGTAATGATATTCAAATACTACATACTCTTCCTTACTTTGGGGGTTTGAATGACTCTCCCACTTGCCGCCACAATTTACATGAAGTGACCTATACATAATCAAGGGCCAGATGTAGAATCACATTAGCAACGGTCAAATGTTTGGTTTTAAAAAGTTCAATTTGCATACTATATTGCAAAGGCCAAACCATAAAACAAAAACCAGTGAGGTAATAGAACCTCCCGATTTAACATAAGTTCCTAAATTGTCTTAAAAGAAGAGGATCTGTTAATAGCAAATATTGCAATAGTTTGGGCCTAATCAAAAGAACGGTGCAAAAAAAGCCAAACAATTTTCCCAATCCATTTTAATTTCTCAATAAAAAGTAATACTATAATTTGATCAATGGATGTACCTAAGTTTTAGAAGAAAAATAATGTTATGAAAGAATACATGTTATTGGCAGAGCAAGGGCATTGGGACCAAAGGGAAAAAATAATTTCACTTCCACAGTTCCACTGATAAATTAACAGGGGAATTTCCGGCCCCAGTCATGCTGTGTTCATTAAATTACTGACACCCAAATCAAAATATAAATTCTTATGGAAGTTATACACTGCACAATGCTTATAAATTATGAAACTGTAATCTTTATCAAAGTGAAGAAAAAGAAGGCTTACCTTATCATATCCACCCAGTCTAATAACAGATCTCCACAACCTTATCCCCAAAAAATGCAAATAGATGTTAGCTATATAGAAATTCCCAAAACATATCTTAGATGCAAATACAAATAACAGTGCAAGTACCAATAGGAACCTACTTAAGACAATTCAATCCCTCTCCATAAAATTTAGGAGGTTTAAATTCCATGCTTCTTTCCTTAAAGAAATTCTCCAGCTCCTTCATAAATGCTGATTGCTCTGCTTCTGTTCCTGATTCACTGCCATCAGATGTATTGCCCCAGAGAAATGAGTTTTTTGAATTGGTGTTCCCATTAACCATAGGCATAGGCAAGTTGAGTTTATCAAAGCCACTCTTCAAATCTTCAACCTTCTCCTTTTCAACTTTTATATCAGAAGATACAGCACGAGGTGTAACTAGCTCAGCCTCAGCTTCATCATGTTTTTTAGGTAAGGTGCCAATATCACCAGTAATTGTCCTTTGAGTTAATTCTGAATCAGCTTCTGCTTTGGCATCTGTTGTTAGTTTTTCAGGTGACTTTGATAAACTTTCCATGTTGACAACTTTTGCAGAATCAGCAGTTTCAATCTGATTGGTGGAAGCAGGGGTGTCCTGTTGACCATCAATGTCTGTTTTCAAATCAGAAACTTCAATTGGGATCTTGTCAGTGGGCTTGGGCAAGACTTGTTCATTTTCAACAGCAACAGCACCCAGAGAATCCTGATTTATGATGGAATGCGGTTCCATATTCTTATCAATAGGCATATTGTCATTACTCTCAGTCTCAGGTGCTGGATTCTCATTCCCACTTTCAGACCGAACAAAGTCACCCTCCACCAGCACGTTGCAAGGTGCATCACAATTCTCCACAGTTTCTACATTATTGTGCTGGTCTTCCTTGTTTGAAGCATCAAGAATATCTTGTCCCATATCCTCATCAGCATTTTCCTTGGTATCACTCATACTTGATGCCATAAACCTCAAAACCCAACTCCTACGACCACCTTTTACACACGCAAACACAGGCAAAATCAAAACCCAAAATTATCTTTCTTTTCAAAATTTCCCATACTTCATTAACTACAGAAAACACTAAATCATCTAGGAAACCCTAAAGCTAAGCTTAGGTGAGAAAAAAGAAAAGAATCATCCAAATTCTCCCGAAAACGAGTCCATAAAAGAAAACCCACATGCATGAAAACAAAAAAAAAAAAAAAATCATCTTTTCTCTATCTACAAAAGCATGAACGTTTCCAACCTGAAATTCAACTAAGAAAAGAAGCAAAATTCGTAACCTTTTCCAGAGGAAAAATCCTTTTCTCACAGCAGACAGAATGCGTATACAGAGTAGAAGTGAGACGAAGGAAGAAGGAGAGACTAACCTGCTTCGAATTCTCGAAAGATTGAAACTTGATCTGTGTAGAAATATATCGTCTCCTCTGGTTTTACTCTGTTTTTTTTTCTTTTTTTTGTGTTCAACTAAATAACGAAGGAGAAAACCCACATAAACGACGACACTCCTGATGCCAGTAGCTGCTCGTGCCACGTACGTTTTCATAATAAACTAAACGACATCGTATCTTCTTTTTCTGGACTGCTGCTGATGGCCTTTTAGACTTTGGCCCACCAAGGGCCAAAAGAAGACTTTTCCATTTTTTTCATATAATGTGTGGGTTAATAGTGACAGACTCACCGCCGTCGATTATAACCGTTGGGGAAAGGCTGCGTCCCGCGACGCCAAACCGCCGTCACTGCGCACCCTTTCTGTGAAGAATTCCCACCATGCACCTGGATTATAGCCGTCGGAAAAATACCGCACCACCACCCCAGCACGCTATGCTAGCTGTTGGATTATAGCCGTTTAAGAGACACTGACTTATCTCTATTATATCTTAGTCGTTCACAGTTAGCGTCCCAAAGCCTTTCAAACCCCAGTCCAGCAATAAAGCCATGGCGGTAGAGAAAATCCCATATCGGAGGAAAGAGAAGAGGGTTGAGAGAACCTGGGTTTCTTACAAGAAAGGTTATGAGATTGAAGAAGAGGGACTGTCTATACAAGAAATCGTTTCAGGGAGACTTGCTTGGAATCCAAAGCTAATATATAGTATGTGTGACTCTTGGATTGATAACTTCGTTACCGGTCTCAAAACCCTGATTTGAATCACAGAATTAGTGTAGGGTTTGTTGAATTACTACAACTTTGATACAAATTACGAGAGCTTCTAGAGGAATTCTAATATGTGGTATTGGGTTCTCCTAATTAACGCAGCCCTTATGTAAACTCTAGAACTTTCCTCTCCGATGTAAGAACAAATGGGAGAAGAGAAGGAAGCCACGTTGAGTTCACTCAGCGAAGGACTCGCTCCCCGTGACCAGGACGATGTCCCCAAATCTCCTCCTCACTCACCCAATTCCTTCACTTGCAAGGTATTTCTGAGATTCCCCCCTTACTTTTTTGTTCTTATTTCCACTAAAAGAGGAAAACAAAAACACTCAGAGTGAGTTCTTTGTTTGGCGTTTAACTGTTACTCATCTAGTATAATTATTGATAAAGCGATATCAAATGCAAAATTAGGAGGCATGCAGATTGCTCCTGAAGAAAGTTGAGCTTTCATCAGGTTGCTGCTTGGCTGATATATATCCAACCATTGAAATGCTGCAGGGATGAGTCGAATGAAGCAAAAACTTGAAAAGATACTTTGGAAGATTTTTGGAAGCTCCAAGGCAGCCTTGATGAGCACAGAGAAACAATGGTGTTGGGAAAAAATTGGCAGCATGTGGGAGGATTTGGGATAATTAGACTGGAAAGGAGACAGTTCACAATTCACAAACTCGCAAGGCACCAAAAATGTTACACAAGGATGTATAAATATCCTTCTATGATTATCTGTTTTAGCATGAATGTTTTTGTTAGACTACTTCAATTCACATTAATTTCTGACCAAAAAAGGGACTACTTTAACTCACTCATTTGTTAGAATGCCGAAGCAAGTAGTAGTGAAGCCACTCAAAGGCCTAGAAAGCAGGACACATTCCAGGATGTCACGCCAAACACAACCATAACTGCTGCATCTAGTAGTGGAAATGAGAAGAAGGCAAGTGGTAAAAGGCTCAGAAAGGACACATCTCAGGATGCCATGCCAAGCTCAATAACAACTGATGCATCTAGCGGAGAAAATGGGAAGAAAGCAGTTGTCCAAAGAGAAGCAAATCTATTTCATATGCTTATTCATTGAAATAAGGCTTTTGAACCTCAGGGAATTTTGCTCATTCATGTTCCTGCTTTAGTGAACATGAAAAGTTTAACAATAGGCACGGTTCAGTTTTTGCATAATGCGTTTGATCATGATAATTAGCATGCTGAAGTTGTTCTTTATTTAAAGTTTTTTTTTTTTGTATTTAATGAAAATGTCATGGTAAAGTTTATTAGATGGTGAGGTGGACTCCACAAATCTCATGTTACATGAGCATCCCATGCCAGCATTTTTAAAAAAATATATTTTATGGAAATTAACCGTCAATTCAAAAGTAGAATCTTTTTGTTTTCTGTTGTTTAGGTACAAAAGTACTTCTACTTTCAAAGTTGGGAAATGAAAAATGTACGTAGCCGGTTAACCCCACTAAAGAATTTAGTAGAATTACCGTCCCATACCATATTCAATTTCCAAACAAATTTTATACAAAATTTTAATTATTTATTTTTTTTATTATAAATAGTTAAACTTATCAACAATTTATATTTTTCTTAAAACTAATTGTCTTTTTATTTTAAAAAATTATGAAAAATTTTAATTATTTATAATGAAAACTGACAGCGACGCTAATGGTTATTAGTTAGAGAACATATCCTATTCATTAAAGGTATGCTTTATCTCCACTGATGGGATGCTGCCCTAAAGAAGAAAACTCAGTTGGTGGCTGCTAATACCCATTAGACATGATACTGTCTTCTGGCCATAGAAAGGCGTGGAATATGCTGACTTTGCGTTAACCTGTCAAGCACCATGATGACAAGTCTGCATCAATGGACAATGAATTGAAAGAAAAATGAATTTCAGCAAAAACCCACAAGCAATAATTGCATTAGCTACAAAACTAATCAATTATATTCCATCCCTTCTCCAACAAGTGTATGACTTCAATTATAGAGATGGAAAATCTCCAGTTGCTGAATATATATCTGCTGCATCAACTCGGTATTCGTTGAGATCATAGAAGGTATCTTCACTGACCTCACTCAAATATAATATTACAGACTACGGTGAGTTGGTATCAGAATATGTCCATGTTTTTAACCTTTTTTTCATCCATGCATATAACTAACAAAGCTTACTTTATTGATTTGGTGATGCCCATATCTTACTACTTATTCTAAAGATGTAGCTGTCTCTATTGCTTATTGTTCTGATTCCTACCATATTAAGTAATTTTAGCCTACAAACTAAAAGCTCGCTGTTGTCTTGCTCTGAAATGTTCATATATTTTACGTGATTAATATCACAACCAAGGATAGTGACCAGCTGTGTATTAGGCTTTATATGAGTTGCTTTTCCTAGGAAGGTTGAATCTGAGCAGTATATCCATTCTTTCATTATGAACATGCAATTACTTTGATAGGTATAGATCAAACTTAGAAAATTAAGTGGATCAAACTTGTTGAGTTCTGCTTCACAAAATTTTTCCTGTAGGATATTGCATAGGAATCTTCATCTTTGCAATGGGATTTTCGGATTTGTTCATCGTGGCACTGATGCCAGTTCTAGAAGTACTTCTGGTCACTGCTTTGGGCTTGTTCCTTGCCTTAGATCGTGTTGATCTCTTAGGACCAGAGTCAAGGCACCGCTTGAATAATGTAAGTAAATACATCAGATCACTATGTGATCCTTGGGTGTTCACAAGGAGATGATTCATTGCTAATTCTGGTTACTGATTTAATTTAACTTCTTTTGTCTTTGCCTCCATGGACAGATTGTGTTTTACGTGTTTGGCCCTGCAATTGTGTTTAGCAATCTGGCAGAAACTATCACATTCCAGAAATTGGTTAGCTTGTCAGTCACTTTCCTATGCTGATATCAGTAATTGCTTTAAACTGCTGAAGATGTCTTGCTAACTCTTGTCTTGTGGGTGGTGTTTCTTCCTTGAGGTGGTTCATGCCTGTCAATATTCTTCTCACATTCATAATTGGCTCAGCACTTGCTTGGCTTCTTATCAAAATCACCAAAACTCCGCTGCATCTTCAAGGCCTTGTCATTGGTTGCTGCTCTGCTGGTGCATACATTTCTTATCATTTTCTGTCTCTCTTTTTTTTTTTTGGGGGCCAATTACCATTTTCTCTTTATTCATTCATTTTCATCATTTCTTTCATGTGTCCTATTTGAAGTAACATCTTATATACTTCTTGTCATCTCCTTCTGTTTATGTAACAGGGAATTTGGGAAACTTGCTGCTTATTATTATTCCAGCAGTCTGTAAGGAGTCAAATAGTCCATTTGGAGATTCATCTTATTGCTCTGTTGATGGAGAGGCATATGCTTCACTATCTATGGCTGTAAGATCTATGCATGTTTGACGATATACGTCTGACACAATCCTTGCTTCTCAACTATGAACCTTCTTTAGTATTACTTTTCCTCAAGGGATAAAATCTTATGTTCATTTCATTTGTTGCATTCTGATGTTACAGGTAGGAGTAATTTATATATGGTCATATGTGTACAACATCATGCGAGTTTTTGCAGTTAAAATAACTGATAAGCATGTGGATGATTCCACAGTCAGCATAAACATATCTGTAGAGGACACAGAAACATCTTCAAAGAGTTGCAAAGAACCTCTGCTACCTTCTGGAGACAATTGTCATCCTGACCATTTTGAAAAGCCAGGAACCAGCTCTGGGGTCAAAACAAAGGTAAAGGGTTAATGCTAACTTTACTTCATTCTTGAGTATTTTTTTGGGTTGAGGTCATTCCAAAGGGAAGACATTTTCCACTTCAATAAGGAAATACATAAATGTAGTCTTTAGCCAGCAAGCTCTTCAAAGATAATTAAAGAAAGTAAGGAAGGCTCCCCTCAATTCAGAATCTTATGAAGGTGTTTTTCTCAGAAAATCCCAATATGGACCATTCAGCGCATCAAGAAGATTGCCACGGATCTGAATCTGAAGATGATATTTGCTCCAGCAACAATTGCATCAGTATGCTAAAATATTACTATCACATCTGCTGCATTTATTTATATACATGAATTTTAGTGCCTATAATGCTTCCTTTTGCTTCAGATTGTCGGGTTTGTAATTGGTACTGTCTCTCCAATCAGAAAGCTAATGATAGGTGACGGTGCTCCTCTTCGCTGCTTAGGAAGTTCTGTGTCCTTGCTGGGGTATGTTATAAGCTACCACTGCAATGATTTGGCTTTTGGTACTTGATGCCTCATTCAAATCACAATATATCATGCTAAATTTTCATGCTCTTTGGTTCTGGAAAATAAACCTGCAACAACAATGTATACAGTGTTAAACCTTGGGATGAAAATAAAACTTGTTCACTGTCCATGATCTTGCTTTTTCTATAAGAGATTCAAGTTTTCCAGGGCAGACGATACATTAAAAGTGCAGTTTGCCTCATGAATTTATTTAAATATCCTTAATGAAATAGTATAAGAAATAATTTTATTAGGGGTACTTAAGTAAATTCTTAGGACAGACTGCACTTTTAATGTACAGTCCACCCTATAAAACACTTTTTTTGTTTCTATAAACACTAACAGTAGTAGCTTGTTTTGATGTCTGGAATGTAGGGAGGCATTGATTCCATGTATGACACTCATAGTGGGTGCAAACCTTCTTCAAGGTAGCTTTCTTCTAGTTATTCCTTCTTGAATTCGCAAAACAGGTAGATATTACTTAAAATGTCTGACTTGATTAGTTACATTTCAGGTCTAAAGAGATCAGGGGTAGGATTTGTACTCATAATAGGAATCATAGTGGTACGTTACATACTCTTGCCTCTGCTAGGCATTGGTGTTGTTAAAGCTGCATCCCATTTTGGTCTGATTGGATCAGATTCATTGTATAAGTTCGTTCTTATGCTTCAGTATGCTCTTCCACCTGCAATGGCAGTAGGTATGACATATCTTAGTCCTTGCATGTAACAAGATAAATCAGCACTTTCTCAATTGTTCCATGACCCCTGCAAAATTCAAGTTCTTAGATATTTATGGTTCTAAAATGAACTCAACAGGCACAATTTCGCAACTCTTCAATGCCGGCCAGAGTGAATGTTCTGTCCTCATGCTATGGACTTATGCTGTGGCCTCATTCTTCCTCACATTTTGGTCCACTATTTACATGTGGCTCCTGACTTGATTCTTTCTTCCAATCTTTGAAGGCCAAGGAGTTATACAGAACTTTATAGATGGGGTTGAAGTATTCTTATTTATTTTTCATTTACCATGGGAGCTACCTGCTAAAAATTTTAAAGCAGAAGCATGCACATGAATTTTTAGAATAATTCTAAGGTTCTGTATATTTTCTTGCCCCACAAACAAATGTATGATGGTTGCTCTTGAAGTTAAGTAGAGGGTGTCATGCTGTTGGAATTGGATCATGTGACAACATAGTGCAAATGGTGTAGATTTGCCCGATACTAGTAGTTGGGGTGGTTTGTAAGTATTTGTGAGATTAATCGAGCTAAATATTGAAATACCCACATCCTTAAAAATAAAGTAAAACTATATGAGGTTTGGTTTTTCCTTTTAGAAAATAATAAAGACAAAGAAGATGAAGAGATGCAGTTTCTTCGGTTCTGTAACTACTTTTTCAAAAATCCTAGAAAAGTACAGGAAGGTGCTGGTGGGAGCGGGGGAGGAACAAACTCCGGACATGTGAGGAACAGAGGAAGGTTACAGGAAGGAGGGTTTTGGATTCTGAAATGGGAAGGAGCCAAGGAGCTACATTTAAAGACAAAAGATCTTTTTGGAGGAACAGCGTTAAGATTCAGTGGTGGTAGGGCCACAGTCACACGGTGGGGGGCCAGAGCTGAGGCGGTGGCTTCCGGTCCGCCGTAACCTCTTCTGTCTTACGGACGTTAAATCATAATACCATTTTTACTCATTCTCCGCTTCCTCTCTTGTCTCTTCTGCTCTCGCTTCTCTGCTCCTTTCACCGGGGACTAGAACAACATATCACATCATCTGATTATATATGATTTTGCATTGCATTTTGGCAAACGGGTTTGGTTTCAACAGAGTAGGAATCCAAAGCAAAGCTTAAAAAAAAATATATAGTCTTTAGCTCCTACTCTGTTTTTTAAGTCCTAAAGGTTCAATTCCTCCTACATCTGTTGCTTCCTGGCTCTGCAATGAGGCTTGTAGACCTGTTTGTTGTTGCTTCTATGCCAGTTTTGAAAGTGCTTCTGTTAACTGCACTAGGCTCCTTCCTCGCCATGGATAGTGTAGATGTTCTAGGGGAGAATGCAAGGAAGCAACTGAATGCTGTAAGTCGCACTATTCCTCTAGGACAGAATCTAATAGACCAAAAGTTTGAAGAACAATCTATTAATCTTCAGGAAACCGAGAACAAAAAGAAAATTTAACAATAACACTTCTGTGTAAACAGGTTGTATTTTTTGTATTCAATCCAGCAGTGGTTGGTAGTAACCTCTCCAAGACAGTTAACTTCGAAAGCTTTGTTTCGGTGTAAGTTTTGTTCTTACTGCTCAGTCATGTTTATAGAGTTGTTATGAGATTTATTGCTTTTGGTCCGAGTCCATTTTTCTCTTTCAAATACATTACTAACTCTGAATTACATGTAGGTGGTTCATGCCACTCAATATCCTGAACACATTCATTGTTGGCTCAGCATTAGGATGGGTGCTCATGCATATTACAGGAGTTCCTCAGCATCTGAGGGGCCTTATATTGGGTTGCTGTGCAGCAGGTATATGCTTGCCTTTCAAAACCCTGTTGTGCTTATGTACTTCCATGTTATATTAATCTGTCCGATTTTCGAATAAGACCAGAGGAGTTTCTATGTTTTTGGTTTGTTTAAACAGGAAATATGGGACACTTGCCCTTGATCATCATTCCTGCGATCTGTAAAGAGAAAGGCAGTCCATTCGGTGATCCAGGCATTTGCAATAGCTATGGGATGGCGTATGCTTCACTCTCTATGGCGGTATGATTGTTATTTAGTTAAACTTATCGCTTCTTCCAATATATGTGTATAAATTTTCGTAGGGTAAATGGCTAAATCCAGCAGATTTAGGTAAGGACCTCAATTGCTGTTTTTGCTTCAAGACTGCAACAATCTAATTTCTTTTTAACATTGGATCTTGTAATCCCAGCTAGCTACCACCTTTCTTGGGTTGAATTGGGTCTTATCAATTTACTTCAAAACTTGTTTCTTTCTCTTTAAAACTTGAATCAAATGTCCAATTTATAAACTATTGTGCAAAATAAACAAATAGTAATTACAATCCTGAAAATAAAGTGCAGAAAAATAAAAAAGAAAGGAAAGAGAATATCAAACCGTGATTTATAATAGTTGCTCCAACTCAAAGTACGTTCACTTTTCAAACCTCTTTGCTCAAGAGATCAATCCATTAGGATTCTCTTGCTTACAGGTGCAAGATTAAACCGGAACAAACTCTTGCTTGTGAGTACGAGATTAAATCCTCACACTCTTGCTTCAAGGTGCAAGATTAAACTCTTACAAGTGAATCTCAATAACTTACTCAACCCTTTCAAAGATTATCTCAATCCAAATAAAAATACAATACCCTTGTAAGCAAAGACAATTAGCCTAAAAAGTTCAAAAGAAAAAGAAGAAGAAGATTCAGAACAGTTTCAATTTCAAACACTGTTTTTCTATCTTTTTCTAGAGAAGCCCGTTCAAGAGTACTGTCAGATCTGATTTTAAAACCCTTTTAATAGTTGATTGGGAGCTCTTGCAATTAAAGCTTATTTTGCCCTTCAAAACCACCTCACAATTGCTCCAGTCAAATTTCACCCTTTTTCTACTTCTTATGACAAGACTCTAATTTTTTGGAGTGTGTTTAGTCATTTGAAACCCACTAAGGCCCATTAAGACAAAACAGATAATTGAATAATCAAAAGTGTACCTTTCAAAATTTTTACTTCAAAATTAAAAATATTGGTTCAAACTATTTTTGAAAAGACTAAACTATGGGATTCATTTGAATCCAAAACTTTGAACAAGGAGGATATAATTTAATTCTATTCGTGGGAAAAAAATTAGAATCCTTGAATTAACTTTTCTGCACACTTAGCACAAAAATATGTTAAACTCTTTAAATTACGGTTTTAAATTATCATCAAAATACAAAGAGAACCTAACATTGTTTTCTTTTCGTGATGCTTCAGATAGGAGCCATTTTTTTGTGGTCTTATGTATACAACATTGTTCGAGTTTACTCTGGTAAGGTCATTGAAGAAGCACGTATTGAAGATGACTCCAAAAGCAATGAAAAGATTACTGAGTATACACCAAAGTCACCAGAATGGAGTTACTCAGAACCTCTGCTTCTTTCCAAGGATTGCTCCATCTCTCTAGAATGTACTCCTGAATTGACATCTTCAGACACCAAGTCAGAGGGAGTTGTGAAGGTTCTTCCTTTCTCAAACTTTGCTAGAAACGTGCTATACATTACTTTGATGAATATTACCTGGAGATCTTCCGCAATGTTACAGGAAAGATGGAATTCCCTTTTGTCCATCTGTTAGTAATTTGATTGTTCTTGAGTGTTTATGGCAGGTACGACGCTTAGATAGGATCTGGCAATTTTTAAGGCTGATATCAAGCAAACTCAATCTCAAGGCTTTATTTGCCCCATCAATTGTAGGAGCTGTAAGTATCCTCCTCCATGTGCTCTTTATTCCAACATGTCTTCCTTTTCCATTTGCTAACAAGATGTACATATATCTGCTAGATTATAGGATTCACCGTCGGTATAGTCCCCAAATTCCGAAATCTAGTGATCGGAAGCAATGCTCCTCTCCGTGTGGTTCAAGATTCTGCTTCTCTGCTGGGGTATGCATCATACACAACTTTTGGCCTCAAATTTATATAATGCCATACACAAGAAGGCTTCATGTATGTAGTCAATCATATTTGCAGGGATGCAGCTATACCAATAGTCACCCTGATAGTGGGAGGAAACCTTATTAGAGGTAATTTCCAGGCTATCCCTTTTATTTATGCATGTACTAGTCTTTGCTCTTCTATGATACTGGATGATGCACATAGGTTTGAGAGGATCAGGAATTCGCCCATCACTAGTACTCGGAGTTATAGCTGTACGGTATGTTCTGCTCCCTCTTTTAGGCATTGTCATTGTTAAAGGTGCAATCCGTTTTGGTCTAGTGAACTCAGATCCATTATACCAATTCATTCTTCTGCTACAATATACGCTTCCTCCGGCCATGAACATAGGTATGTATGTTCTTTGTTCTACAATCCGGTAATGAACATAGCTATATATATATACCAATTGTAATGAGCATTTTCTCATGATGCATGCTGCTTCTTGTGCAGGCACAATTACCCAATTATTCAGAGCTGGAGAGAGCGAGTGCTCAGTTATAATGCTATGGACATATGCCTTGGCATCAATTTCGATCACTCTATGGTCAACCTTCTTCATGTGGTTGGTAGCCTGAAGTGACGAACTTACCCAAAATAAGAGTTAAAGAAAGGACTGGATTCTTTGACAGAAGTTTATGTTTGGTTTATCGACATTTCACTATTGTTACATTAGAATAACAAAAAGTTATTACTACACTGTAAGGCTTAAACTATTAAATGATGATATATTCCTTGATAATTGAGGGCATGACTTTAGCTATTAGTTGATAATATATCCTTTAATATTGAGGATTTTTTTCTTTAATATGTTTTATAAGAAACTTCAAAAAAAAAAAAAAAGGAATAGTTGAATTATTATTATTTTTTTCTTAAATTTAAACTATCTTTTATTGAATGAGAAAAAATTGTTCAAAAGAAGATTTTTTTTTTCTTATATTAAGGGTGTATTTGGAATTACAGTTGAGAGTTATTTTTGTAGTTGTATATTTAGTTTAGATAAATATATATTTGATAATTTTTTTTTCAAATTACTTTTTCTAAAAATTGTAAAAAGTCAGAGTAAGTCTACAATAATTTTATATATAAAGTTAAAAATCTCGTTTTGAAGTTTTTTAACTGGGGTTTTTTATAGAAAACATCTAATATTTTAATACAATTA